TTGAAATTTCTTGAGTTTTCTTGATTCCTCTTGAAATCTTGAAGCTTCTTGAGTCTTGCTGATTAAATCTTGCAATCTTTCATTCTGCATCATCTTGAAATCTTGTAAATGTTTCCCTGGTACCCTTTACAAATGATACTGTAACAAATGTAAATGTTAAGTCTTAGTCTTCCTGGGAACTCCTGTAAATATTGATATTTCCTGAGTTTTCCTGAATCCTCTTGAAATCTTGCAACTTCAAGAGTCTTGCTAAATAAATCTCTGCATCATCTTAGAATCTTGAAATCTTGTCAGTGTTTTCCTGGATACTCTTTGAATTTTGAAATTTCATGACTTTTTCTTAATTCTCTTGAAATCTTGGCACTTTTTAAGTCTTGCTGATTAAATCTTGCAATCTTTCACTCTGCATCATCTTAAAATCTTAAAATCTTGTCAATGTTTCTCTGGGTTCCCTTTAAATATTGAAATTTCCTGAGTTTTATAATCCTCTTGAAATCTTGGAGCTTCTTGAGTCTTGCTGATTAAATCTTGCAATCTTTCACTCTGCATCATCTTGAATTCTTGAAATCTTGTCAATGTTCTCCAGGGTACTCTTAAAATAATGAAATTCCCTAAGTTTTCCTGAAACTTCTTGAATTCTTGCAACTTCTTGAGTCTTGCTGATTAAATCTTGCAATCTTTCATTCTGCATCATCTTGAAATCTGGAAATCTTGTAAATGTTTCCCTGGTACCCTTTACAAATGATAATGTAACAAATGTAAATGTTAAGTCTTAGTCTTCCTGGGAACTCCTGTAAATATTGATATTTCCTGAGTTTTCCTGAATCCTCTTGAAATCTTGGAGCTTCTTGAGTCTTGCTGATTAAATCTTGTAATCTTTCACTCTGCATCATCTTGAAATCTTGAAATCTTGTCAATGTTTTGACCTGGGTACTCTTAAAATATTGAAATTTTCTGAGTTTTCCTGAATCCTCTTGAAAATCTTGGAGCTTCTTGAGTCTTGCTTGTTAAATCTTGCAATCTTTCACTCTGCATCATCTTAAAATCTTGAAATCTTGTCAATGTTTCCTGGGTTCCCTTTAAATATTGAAATTTCCTGTGTTTTATTAAATCCTCTTGAAATCTTGGAGCTTCTTGAGTCTTGATATTAAATCTTGCAATCTTTCACTCTGCATCATCTTGAAATCTTGAAATCTTGTCAATGTTCTCCAGGGTACTCTTAAAATAATGAAATTCCCTAAGTGTTCCTGAATTAAATCTTGCAATCTTTCACTTGCATCATCTTAAAATCTTGAAATCTTGTCAATGTTTCTCTGGGTTCCCTTTAAATATTGAAATTTCCTTAGTTTTATTAAATCCTCTTGAAATCTTGGAGCTTCTTGGGTCTTGCTGTTTAAATCTTGCAATCTTTCATTCTGCATCATCTTGAAATTTTGAAATCTTGTCAATGTTTCCCTGGTACCCTTTACAAATGATAATGTAACAAATGTAAAAGTTAAGTCTTAGTCTTCCTGGGAACTCCTGTAAATATTGAAATTTCCTGAGTTATGCTGAATCCTCTTGAAATCTTGGCACTTTTTGAGTCTTGCTTATTAAATCTTGTAATCTTTCACTCTGCATCATCTTGAAATCTTGAAATCTTGTCAATGTTTTGACCTGAGTAGGCCTACTCTTAAAATATTGAAATTACCAGAGTTTTCCTGAATCCTCTTGAAATCTTGCAACTTCTTGAGTCTTGCTAAATAAATCTCTGCATCATCTTGAAATCTTGAAATCTTGTCAATGTCTCCCTGGGTTCCCTTTAAATATGGACATTTCCTGAGTTTTCCTGAATCCTCTGGAATCATGGAGCTTCTTGAGTCTTGCTGATTAAATCTTGCAATCTTTCACTCTGCATCATCTTGAAATCTTGAAATCTTGTCAATGTCTTAAAATATTGAAATTTCCTGAGTTTTCCTGAATCCTCTTGAAATCTTGGAGCTATTTGAGTCTTGCTGATTAAATCTTGCAATCTTTCAATTGCATCATCTTAAAATCTTGAAATCTTGTCAATGTTTCCTGGGTTCCCTTTAAATATTGAAATTTCCTGAGTTTTCCTGAATCTTCTTGAAATATTGGAGCTTCTTGAGTCTTGCTGATTAAATCTTGCAATCTTTCATTCTGCATCATCTTGAATTCTTGAAATCTTGTAAATGTTTCCCTGGTACCCTTTACAAATGATAGTGTAACAAATGTAAATGTTAAGTCTTAGTCTTCCTGGGAACTCCTGTAAATATTGATATTTCCTGAGTGATGCTGAATCCTCTTGAAATATTGCAACTTCTTAAGTCTTGCTAATTAAATCTCTGCATCATCTTGAAATCTTTGATTATGTTTTCCTTGGTAATCTTAAAATATTGAAATTTCCTGAGTTTTCCTGAATCCTCTTGAAATCTTGCAACTTCTTGAGTCTTGCTGATTAAATCTTGCAATCTGTCACTCTGCATCATCTTGAAATCTTGAAATCTTGTCAATTTTTCCCTGAGTACTCTTTGAATATTGCAATTTCCTAAGTTTTCCTGAATCCTCTTGTAATGAAATCTTGGATCCTCTTGAGTTTTGCTGATCTTGCAATCTTTCATTCTGCATCATCTTGAAATCTTGTAAATGTTTTCCTGCATGGGCACTCTTTATAAATATGTCAATTCCCTGAGACTTCCTGAATTCTCTTGAAATCTTGGAAATTCTTGACTTGAGTCTTGCTGATTAAATCTTGGAATGTTTCACTCTGCATCGATCTTAACTTTCTCTGGTGCGAGTTTAGCTTTCTCGGTATTGTATTGATATTACCTGAGTTTTATCCCCTTGAAATCTTGAAACTGCGCAGTTATGATCATTAATATGCCTTGAAATCTTGTCAGTTTTATATATTAACATTTACCTGAATGAACTTTCATTTTCCTGGGTCTGCTTCTTCATGGGTCCTCATGGCCAGGCACCACGAATCCTGATCAGTGAACATTATATCTTGTATTCCTCGGGCGAGAGACCGAAGACTTCGAAAATGGCGGCGTTATTTTACTGCTTCAGCGAGAGGTACTGACTCAACCACTATGGTGGCCCTGAAAGGCCATCAAAGACGTAAATAATGTATTTCACGACATCGCAATATGTTTCGCAACATTGCAAAAGCATTTTCACGCGCAATATTAGAAAATACCTTGTATGTATACGTTTTTCAAAGCATACATTTCTCGTAATGTTATATTATTCCATGTGGATAAAGTGTAGCTAACCAAAATGAGAAATCACTTGGAGATGGGGGGGGGGGGGCTAGGGGGGCTGTAGCCCCCCCCAAAAAAAATTTTGTCTAGCCCCCCAAAATAAATTCCGTAAAAAAAAATTGCATTAGCAAAAAGATGATTGTGATGTACATGCGAACGGTCTGCCCCTAAATAGCCGTGACAAGGGTGCATTAGTTACTATAGTGTGAATGATTTTAGGATTTTATTGGCGCTCCCCATTGAAAATATGGCATGCCCCCCCCCCCCCCCCTATTGATTTTCGGAGGCCTAAGTGTCTGGAAAAAATAACCGGTCAACATTTCAGCACGCCTCCCTGAAAAAAATTCTTGATCCACCGTGCTAGCCCCCCCCCCCAAAAAAAAAAAAAAATATTGGTTCTAGAACCGCGCCTGTCCCTGACCCCACTTAAGAATAAACGGAGCAATTTATAAATGTCGGGGAATTGCTAGGTCAAAGAACCAGTCTAGCTGGCTTGTACCCGTTCATGGATGTGTAATCGATTGCAAACAAAATGCAGAATAACTAAACTGGGGGTCCAATTTGAAGAAAAAAAAGGCCAGTTTTTTTTCTAGATTTGGTCGGGCTGGCATGAATGCAGTCCTAATGCGGGTTTTTTTTAATTTTATTTTTTTATAGATTTTTAGTAATGTTAATGAGCTCTTCAAGCTTATTCCCAAAAAGTTGTATATATTCTAAAAGTTATTTTAGTCTCCTATTTAAGTTTCAATTTAAGTTTCACCCAATGACAGCCACAACATTATTTCATAAATTTGCATCTTTTTACTAATTACACCGAGTTCTACTATAGTCCACATTTTAGATTTTTGGAAGTGAGAGGTCAATTTTTGGCTCAATTATATTTCGCTTTCACGTCAGGGGATTTTTCAATTTTCCACTGGAGATGCTCGAGGGTGATTTTCTTACGAATGTCAATGTACAAAAACTAAGTGCAAATATTAACTATTTTTGCACGTTAATTTTCCTATTCAAGGGGCCCGGAAGCGCGACACCGGGGTGAACTTTCAGGAAAGTGACACTGTTTAATGAGGGCAAAATAACATTAAAAAACATTTTTAGGTTGGCCGGCGGCAACGGTTTCTATACAGAACGTGTATTAAATAAAATGTCATGTGAACGGTGTCCGCTATAGCTCACTGGTTATTTTCAGGAAATTTTGTTTTAAAGGGAATGATTAGTCCGAGAGCCAGTCCATTACCAACTGACGCATGTGCATTATGGCTGCACTAGAAAAAGATCATTGCTGGAAATTATTTCGTTTGAGAGTTCGTCTCGACTATGGTCTTTCTATTTCTCTGGAAAATTTGGGATGAAACGATACCAGAAAATCTCTGTATTTTGCAATTGAGTGGAGATATTTTTAATTTTCGAAATGGGCTTGCAGGACTGCAAGTCATCTAACCGGGGAAGTCATCGTTCAACCTTCTATTACTGAACAGAGAGTCAAGAGAAAGAGAGTAAATTTGGCTTTAACTTGATGTAGTTATGTGTATTTCCCCCGATTTTTGGCAGTTGCAATATTTAGTAGGCCACGCCCATGGCGCATGGAGCTGAGAACATCAACTTGAAATTTAAAGGCGCGCTATTTAAAGTAATCACCATAGCAGTCAGGTTCCTGGCAATGTAACACCCAGACGTCTCCTTTTCTTGCATTCAAATGTGCATGCATTGCACACACGTCACATTCGCGCGTGCATGCAATCCCCGTGTCTACTGACTCTACTCGCGTAGTTAAAATACCAGATTTTTGTTTAATCTTAACTCGTATCCCCTTAGAAGGCCAGGTACAGATTTATTAGCAGTCATGATTATCAGCCGATTGTTCATTTCTCTCTTGCTTGCAAATATCCAGCTGACAGTTTATTGCAAGAAAAAGGACCTAGTTCAGGTAGGTATTATTATTATTTAATATTAGGGCCTAGTTGTATTGTCAGTGTCACTGTCAGTGTCAGTGTTGTATCATGTGTATGGTCATGATGGTGTACCCTAACGAGGCGCGGCCCCCAACGTGGTGTACTTTGATTTTTCGCCTGTAGCACCTACCTAGTAGAGCAAAAGTTTTAACTGAAATTTCACAGAAAGTGAAATGTGATCAGGTTCTAAACACTCCTGTAAAGTGTAAGTCCTGTTCATAAATCGCAAGTTTATTTAAATTTACCCGTAACATCGTTCGAATGGCAGCGATGGCAGCAGTTCAACTTGGACCCTACTATCGCCAGACTACCTGACTACTCCTAGAACTATGAGGCTCCGCGTGAGCGGAGCCTCATAGATCAAGAAGCCCGCAAAATTGCCTGCAGCACAAAACACTAATAAAGTACAAAAACGTCCATCAAAATGCAGCCATTTCACACAGAACCGCTGCACAGTTTGCCCCTATACTCCGTACTTTATCTCTTGACATACTCACGTATCTTGTGCGGAACTAACATAGGTGGATTCTGTCGGTTTTTAGGCCAAAATGATGAAAAATATGCCCTTTCCGCATTGAGCCAACCTGACACTTGAAACGTGCACGCATTATGATCGATCGAGCGATGATTTTCGGTTCGCTCGGAGCGCGCCGCGGGGGGTACGGTACATGCACTTGTACGCATGCACATCATTTCGCTTGTACCTTACCCCCCGCGGCGCGCTCCGAGCGAACCGAAAATCATCGCTCGATCATATGCGTGCACGTTTCAAGTGTCAGGTTGGCTCAGTGCGGAAAGGGCATATTTTTCATCATTTTGGCCTAAAAACCGACAGAATCCACCTATGTTAGTTCCGCACAAGATACGTGAGTATGTCAAGAGATAAAGTACGGAGTATAGGGGCAAACTGTGCAGTGGTTCTGTGTGAAATGGCTGCATTTTGATGGACGTTTTTGTACTTTATTAGTGTTTTGTGCTGCAGGCAATTTTGCGGGCTTCTTGATCTATGAGGCTCCGCTCACGCGGAGCCTCATAGTTCTAGGAGTATCGCCAGACCATGTCCAAATGTTAAAAGTTACTCGGACTAACCTGTAGGTAATCCCCGAGAAAAAATATTTCACTTTTATTTACCCGATGAAGTCACTGCGGGATAACTAGACATCTACAGTAATGGTCTTGGAAAAAAATGATGAAACCTGACGCCACTTCCGCAATTGTGTACAAAGTATATGGAGAGTCAAGAAAATGTTCAGAGTATTTCCTAATGTTTCTCAGTCCCAGATTCATGTTTTATCATCATTTTTGCAACATATTGAATGACTTTAATCGAGATGATAGCCTGTATGACATTTTTTTTCTGTATGAAGAAAAAAAAACGGCCTCAGGTTGCAATTTTTTTCCCCAGTGTTTAAATGGGGCTACATGAAAAATGTTATTCTGTTATTTGAAATGGATTAGGCAATTCCCCTGGCTCGTCGGTGTTCATGTGTAACTTTCCCATTTACAAATCTCCACTAACGTAAATCTTTTCAATTTCTTTCAGAAGTCAGCTGTACAACTAATTGAAAAAGAAACCAAACATGTGGACCTGGACAGTTGCAAAAGTAGTCAACAATTGATCATCTCTAAGCTGAGACTGCATGGAAAGGTCAGTACGTATAACGAGGCTTTGCTTCCCTTTGGCCCCCTTCCCATTGGCCATGTTGGCAAGTCGCCCGCTTTCTGGGTGATCACCCACTTTGCGAATGATCTAGCCCCATAAATGTGGCCAATTTACTGGACTATACCTCCGTAAATAAAGGCCACACTTGGAACATGCAAAAAACATGAAGAACTTTGTCAAATTTCGATGGAAAGATTTCCATATACGAAGTTCACTCAACACCCTGTGTACAAACCCTATGAGATTTGAAGTGTTTTCTAAGAAAATGCTTGTATTTTCTCACTGCTCAAATTGACTTTGATGACATGAAATTGCTATCTGGGGGCTTGTTAGTCAATACAGAGGAAAATTAGTGAACTTCGTATATGGAAATCTTTCCATTTCGATTTTCACATTTATGCTTAGTTTGTAGTTTATTTTTGCTTTAGAAGCATACTCACCCTCTTTATAGGCTAATCAGAAAGTGCTGCCTTTTTTAGATGTCTATTTTCGTGAAATTTCCAGATTCGTTTGCACTCGTTTGCGTATCAAGATTTCAACACAATTCAGTCACAATTCAATCGCAATAGATCTCGTTCATATGACGTCATTTCCTACAGAGACCATCCACGTGCATAGGCATTTTGAGCATCAACTTTCATAACGCGCATCGGCTGCGTCGTATTTCGAGCAACAATCGCGCGTCTTTGGAACATTTTCCCCACTGTGTTATGTATGCGTGCTTGATTGCGTAAATACGCAGTTGCAGTTCTCCTACAGAGATGGCCGTCATTGAGCCCTATTCAGTCACAATTCAGTCACAAGTCAGTCACAAGTCAATCACAAGTCTTCAAGTCCAGTCACATTGTATACTCACACTTTTCATCCCCTGTTACTTGTGAATTGACTTGTGAATGACTTGATTCCAACTTTGAATAAAATTATATACCGGTAAGTCAATCACAATTTAAGATAACGAGTGGCGGGATGAACAGTGACAAAGGAATTCACTTGTCACTGTTCATTTGAAATATTTCGTCTCTCGAAATGAGACTGGATGAATCACGGATCCTCTACACAAGGATAAACAACTTCCCCAAATTTCTGGTTAGGGGCATGATATGGCACTTGCGAGTCTCGACGTGTGACTGCAGTCTTTCAGTGGTCAAATTTCTGTTGGGACGCCAGCTGTTGGCGATATTTGTTCTACATGTTCTATGCGTTGTTCTATGCACAGACGCGGTAAATCACGCATGTAGACAAACCGTTCCGTACATTTTGTACACAAGCTCAGATGAGTTGTTTATCCTTGTGAAGAGGATTTGTGGATGAATTGAGTTGTACATGTACATGTGTGCACTACCTACATATGTACATGTACATGTTTGTAAAGTTCAATGTATTCTGACATGCCTGGATTAGAGCATGAGATATGCAAGTGTAATACTTGATGCCTTTGATATCTTGCAGGTAGACAAGCTGAAAGTGTGTCTGCTCAAGTCACTCAGTGCAAATCTTGAAAATGGCTGGGCATGGTGAGTCACAAACTTCTCAATCTAGTGGTCATGTCTTTGTTTGTGTCTATTTGCGTGACTCTTTGACTTTTGTCTTTGTATGTCTTGTTTGTTTTCTGCTGTACATGTAGTTCCTTCAACTTTCACGCACCCCACTCTCTGGTCAACAATTTTATGAACTTGTGAATTCCCATGATTTCAAAAAACAAGTTTCAAACTGCAATGTTGTAAGTGTTACTACATGTAGTCATCCCCTCGATACTAAGGGAATTTATTTGGAGCTGTGCAGTGTTCTCACTATGTCATAATGTGTACATGTACCGTCATAATTTAATGTTGGTGTTTCACCCCCCAAAATAGAGAATTTCCCAGGCTAAGAATATACATGTACTGGTACATGTACCTGTAGTGCATCATAGTTGTAATCAATGTGCCGCACTGAGAATCAGAAGTGTCCTCCTCAAAATGAGATGTGCTTTATGCTATAAAGTGAGTTTTAACCATTTCACATGTATTTTCCTCCCACTTATAAAGTAAAGTTCCCCAACTTTTACTTTGTCTTAAGCCTCCGTAGATAAAAATCCCAGTGAAACTGCAGCGTCTACATTGTATGCTAGGGTCCATACTTTGACTTTTGGTTTGGGAAAATATTCCCCAGGAATGATTCTTTGCATGGTTTCTATTATATCTACCATGAATTTCACTAAAAAGAAATGAAAACACACCAAGCGCAGTGCGTGAAGAAACAATTGGCCGGACACAGAAATCATGCCCTCCCTCCATGTTTGCATACATTGTGTGCCTGTGCTGTGTGACCTTTATGCTGTGCCCAGGTGCATAGCTTTCTCATGTTGCTTTGCTCTGTTTGGACTGGACTTTTTGTCCTGGGAAAATTGATGTGATCATGTTGATCAGACCCAGTTTGGCCATTTGAAGCAACGACTGGACTCGGAAATAGTAACCAAGAGGAATGTTTCCTTGGCTGTTCAGGAAAATTCACCATCCTCTCTTCTTGTCAAGTTTTACCAATGAAAAATCCAATGCAAACAGCTTATTATGCCTCTCTCGGAAATCTGTGATTGAGCTTTTCATTGTGTTCTGTTCCTACAGGTCTGAGTTGGGAAGCTTGTTTGCTGCGCAGCAAGACAAGAGCAAGGCAAGCACATGCTTCAAGCAAGCAGCAAAGCTCTCAGGAAAAGTCACATCTTTCATCGGTACCTGGCATTTCATTGGTGGGTTTTCACTTGTATTTATAGTATTTTGCACAAAAATAAATGTGGCCCCAATCGCTATCAATGTCAGCATGCAAAAGATGGCAGCCACTCACCACAACATATTGGTTTTCTTTGTTGAATTTGTTGAGTCTTATATAGCGCACGTATCTATCAACGATTAGGTACTCAAGGCGCTAGAAATTACCGTATGTCTGTTATTCAAGACAGGTAAATGACGTTGATGAGAAAAATATGAGACCTATTATGTAGCACCTTATAAGGGTTTATAAGGTGCTGCGGTGCATATTGCAGCCACTGCCAGAAAAACCGGGGCAAACCCTTTCTCTTAGCGATAAGTGTTACTGGGTTCTTTAACGTGCATTACACAACACGCGGGACCTACAGCTTTACATCCCATCCGAAGGATGGAGGAATAATGGTAAAGTGCCTTGCTCAAGAGCACAAGCACCATGTTCCCACGGTCAGGATTCGAACCCATGTGCCACGGCACACAATTCGAACGCCGTAACCATTGGACCACAGCACCAATTTGTAAATGTGGCGATACAAGCACCAATTTGTAAATGTGGAGATACAACAATTATACCTTTCATTTGTGTGTTTACAGTTACTACCAGAACACATTGATAAGTAACAACCTAAACAGCAGAAATCTCTGCTTCTGTACGCATTCGGCGTACATGGCTGTATTAGTTATCAAATATATATATGCATTTATGCAGTTAACATGATGATGCATCTGTTATTTTGCTGATGACATCACAAAACGTCGCATCAGTGCAACAAGGTCGTAACTCCATTCTGCAACAAAGTAGTATCTCGCACGAATACACTCCGTGCAACAAGGTTGCATCTGGACGTCCACTGACATCGCCTGTACATCTGGGTTATTTTAAGTGAGATACGACCTCTTGCCATTCTGAAACTTGCGTTTTGCATTTGTGCCATTTTAGGAGACAAGACCTTGTTGCACTGGCGCAACAAAAAAAGGAATTTTTGTTTTTGTGCCCAGGGGCGTGTGGACAAGTTTTCTTCAATCCCAAATTTAACCTCGCTTTTTCCCCTTCCTATCTTCAGGTCCATTTGTCATTGGAAAGAACGAAGTTGACGCCGACCCCCTTGAATCATGGGGAGGTATCGTCACCGCAGCCAGCCAGCGATATAACAAGAAGGCCAGCTTCTACTCGGAGCTGGTGCCAGGCGGAGAGGTGCAGTGGAAAACTTACCAACAAACAGTGAGTGGATGGTATGCCCTTTTATTACACCTCATACATATTTATGAACCAAATGTGCTTCTTTTATTGGTCGATGTTCCAAAGTGTAAAGGAATAAAAATCGTCACTGTTTTCATGAACTGACATGCATGCGCTGTGATGTGTAAGGTCGTTAAAACCTCGTAATCAATAATTCTGATTTCACAAACTGTGTCACTGGTGTGCCCGCGCACTTTCTACACTGACGTGGAATAGAACAATGTTGGTTTTCACGAACTGAAACGCTAGCATGTGGCTAAAATACAGTTTGGAGAAAAGCGCTTTGAAAGGTTTGAAACGAATTTAAGCCATCCGTATACTTGTGGGCTTATATACACACATATTTTATTAAAAACCTTTTTACTGGTGAAATTAAGACCGGTTTCAGTTCGTGAAAACGAAAATGTACGGATTGCGCGCATGGATGTCAGTTCATGAAAACCAAAATAACGTGGTTCTGTAAAGTATGCGTGCTAGCCGGTCACTCGCGCGCAACTAAGTGTCAGTTCGTGGTGTTGATGATGGAATTAACTGCCCTTAGTGTTCCTGTATTAGCTCCTAGACTCATAACTCTGCACTCGCAAATTTATGAGTGAAGTGGGGTTCATGCTTGAACCTTCACAACAGACAAATGATGCATTTCAAGGGAGGGTTGATTTCACATAGTCTCCAGTTTTGTAAATGAATCTGAAAAATGTATCTGGTGTAATAAATCAAATAAAACATGGGGTTTTCTGGGAAGAATCCCCTAAATAATTCTGATGTAGGGTGATCTTGACCCCTTTCCTCACCTGTGCATCAGAAAGTAAACAGCCAACACTTTAGGTAGTTCTTCCCCTCAAACCATGCTGTATTTGTGGAAACCCCAACCTTCTCTGTTCTGAAAGATCCGGAGGCCAAAATTGCCTAATCAACTTTAGAAATGACACGGAAAACTAAGTATGCTGGCTTATAAAATGAAATGTGTCAACCTAAAGGCCAAAGTCCAGTCAGCATGGTCAAGCTGGCAGCTTCAAGGAAAGAAAGAAATATGCAAAGTATTGCAAAGAGTTAGGTTAGGACGTTTCACTTTTAGGGGAAAGCAGGATTCTGGCAGGGAATTTCACAGTGAGACAGTGCAATGGAAAAACCTTTACCTTTAACAAAATCCAACTGCATGTTTTGTTGTAATCTGTTGGAGTGAGTACTAGAGTAGTAAACTGATTATACTTTTTTTAATTACATGGGGTCAGGCATACATGAACCACCATAATCAGAGTCCAAAAGTTTGGGTTTTGGGTTTACCATATGGTGTTTGATTTTGCAAGAATGAGGAAGGTTCCTAGTAAATCACTCAAGATGGTTAGGGTTAAGGAATTGTACACCATACTGGCTCCCTCAAGCAAGACGTACATGTAAGATTTATCAATAACATTTTACATTCAAGCACTCATTTGCCTCCATGTTATTCTCAAACTTTGTTTTGATATTGTTATTTCTGTGTGTAGAATGGGCATCAGCCATTGCAGATAACACCAGATATCAACTTCAGTGAGCTTGTCACCTCGCTGGGATCATTGGCGATTACTGAATGGCAGGTAAATATATTTCTTATTTTATGGGTAGAGGGGGGGGGGGCATGTGCATAAGACTCCACTGCTTAATATACCATGCTGCACACCCCGACAAAGTGATACCATAAAAATTACCTGTATTCGCGCAACGCTAAGTACTGAATGCAGTTTCACAGCTTTGTAGAGACAACCCGAGTGTGATTGTAGTAGTATATTTCTGCAGTTTTGGATTATCCACGATTGTCCACCAGGATCATCAAGGTTTTAGCTGCTGCCCTACAACAACTTATTCACCTCTATATCTAGATTGACAAAGACAGTTTCAAGATGACAAGATGTTAAGACTCAAGATGTCAAGATTTCAAGATATCAAGATTTCAAGATATCAAAGAGTTTCCTATTATAAAAATCTTTTCCAGGATTTACGACTTCAAAATTTCAATACTTCAAGACTTCATAATGTAAAAAGTATCAACATTTTTCAAGACTTTCATACATGTAGACTTTCAGACTTAAAGACTTCAAGACTTCAACGCTTTCTAATATCAGAAAGTTCAAGACGTCAAACTTCAAGAGGTCACAATTAAGTAAAGACTTCAAGGATTCAAGATTTCAAGATTTTAAGACCTCAAGACATCAAGATTTCAAGATATCCAAGAGTTTCCAGTTAAAAAAAAAGAAGACTTTTCCAAGATTTTAAGACTTCAATATGTAAAGAGTATCAAGACTATTCGAGACTTTCATAGATTGTCAAGATTTTTCCAAGATTTCAAGACTTGAAGACTTCTTTACAAGACTCAAGTGGTTCCAAGATTTCAAAAGGATTCAGGAAAACTCAGGAAATTTCAAAATTCAAAGAGTACCCAGCAAAACATTGACAAGATATCAAGATTTCAAGATGATGCAAAATGAAAGATCGCAAGATTTAATCAGCAAGACTCAAGAAGTCCAAGATTTCAAGACGATTCCGGAAAACTCAGGAAATTTCAATATTTTAAGAGTGCCCAGCAAAACATTGACAAGATTTCAAGATTTCAAGATGATGCACAGTGAAAGATTACAAGATTTAATCAGCAAGACTCAAGTGGTTCCAAGATTTCAAGAGGATTCGGGAAAACTCAGGACATTGCATTATTTTAAGAGTACCCAGGAAAACATTGACAAGATTTCAAGATGATGCAGAGTGAAAGATTGCAAGATTTAATAGGCAAGACTCAAGAAGTCGCAAGAGTTCAAGAGGATTCAGGAAAACTCAGGAAATTTCAATTTTTAAAGAGTACCAGGGAAAACAATTACAACATTTCAAGATTTCAAGATGATGCAGAGTAAAAGATTGCAAGATTTAATCAGCAAGACTCAAGAAGCTCCAAAATTTCAAGAGGATTCAGGAAAACTCAGGAAATTTCAATATTCAAAGAGTACCCAGGAAAACATTTTCAAGATTTCAAGATTCGAAGATGATGCAGAGAAAAAGATTGCAAGATTTAATCAGCAAGACTCAAGAACTTCCAAGATTTCAAGACAATTCAAGAAAACTCAGGATGTTTCAATATTTTCAGAGCACCCAGGAAAACATTGACAAGATTTCAAGATTTCAAGATAATGCAGAGTGAAAGATGCAGGAGTCCCAAGATTTCAAGAGGATTCAGGAAAACTCAGAAAATTTCAGTTTTTAAAGGGTACCCAGGAAAACATTTACAAGATTTCAAGATTTAAAGAGGATGCAGAGTAAAAGATTGCAAGATTTAATCATCAAGATTTGAGTGGTTCCATGATATCAAGAGGATTGAGGAAAACTGAGGACATTGCAATATTTTAAGAGTACCCAGCAAAACATCAAGATTTCAAATTTCAAGATGATGCACGGTGAAAGATTGCAAGATTTAATAAGCAAGACTCAAGAAGGTCCAAGATTTCAAGAGGATTCAGGAAAACTCAGGAAATTTCAATATGTTAAGAGTACCCAGCAAACATTGACAAGATTTCAAAATGGGATGCAGAGTGAAAGACTGCAAGATTTAATCAGCAAGACTCAAATGGTTCCAAGATTTCAAGAGGATTCAGGAAAACTCAGGACATTGCATTATTTTAAGAGTACCCAGGAAAACATTGACAAGATTTTAAAATGATGCAGAGTAAATGATTGCAAGTTTAATAGGCAAGAACCGAGAAGCTGCATGATTTCAAGAGGATTCAGGAAAACTCCGGAAATTTCAATATTTTAAGAGTACCCAGGAAAACATTTTCAAGATTTGAAGATTCGAAGATGGTGCAGGGAAAAAGATTGCAAGATTTAATCAGCAAGACTCAAGAACTTCCAAGATTTTCAAGAGGATTCAAGAAAACTCAGGATATTACAATATTTTAAGAGTACCCAGGAAAACGTTGACAAGATTTCAAGATTTCAAGATGATGCAGAATGAAAGATTGCAAGATTTAATAGACAAGACTCGAGAAGCTCCATAATTTCAAGAGGATTCAGGAAAACTCAAGAAATATAAAAATATTTAAAAAGTACCCAAGAAATCATTGAAGGGATTTCAAAATGATGCAGAATGAAAGATTGCAAGATTTAATGGGCAAGACCCGAGAAGCTGCATGATTTCAAGAGGATTCAGGAAAAAATCAGGAAATTTCAATACTCAAAGAGTACCCAGGAAAACATTTGAAAGATTTCAAGATTCGAAGATGATGCAGAATGAAAGATTGCAAGATTTAATAGGCAAGACACGAGAAGCTCCATGATTTCAAGAGGATTCAGGAAAAAATCAGGAAATTTCAATATTTTAAGAGTACCCAGGAAAACATTTTCAAGATTTCAAGATTCGAAGATGATGCAGAAAAAAAAATTGCAAGATTTAATCAGCAAGACTCAAGAACTTCCAAGATTTCAAGACGATTCAAGAAAACTCAGGATGTTTCAATATTTTAAGAGTACCTGGTGTACCCAGGAAAACATTGACAAGATTTCAAGATGATGCAGAGTGAAAGATTGCAAGATTTAATAGGCAAGACTCGAGAAGCTCCATAATTTCAAGAGGATTCAAGAAAACTCAGGAGATTTCAATATTCAAAGAGTACCCAAGAAAACATTGACAAGATTTCAAAATGATGCAGAATGAAAGATTGCAAGATTTAATTAGCAAGACTGAAGAACTTCCAAGATATGAAGAGGATTCAGGAAATCTCAGGACATTGCATTAATTAAGAGTACCCAGCAAAACATTGACAAGATTTCAGGAGTCCCAAGATTTCAAAGGATTCAGGAAAACTCAGAAAATTTCAGTTTTTAAAGGGTACCCAGGAAAACATTTACAAGATTTCAAGATTTAAAGATGATTCAGAGTAAAAGATTGCAAGATTTAATCATCAAGACTCGAGTGGTTCCATGATATCAAGAGGATTCAGGAAAACTGAGGACATTGCAATATTTTAAGAGTACCCAGCAAAACATCAAGATTTCAAAATTTCAAGATGATGCACGGTGAAAGATTGCAAGATTTAATAAGCAAGATCAAGAAGGTCCTAGATTTCAAGAGGATTCAGGAAAACTCAGGAAATTTTAATATGTTAAGAGTACCCAGCAAACATTGACAAGATTTCAAAATGGGATGCAGAGTGAAAGACTGCAAGATTTAATCAGCAAGACTCAAATGGTTCCAAGATTTCAAGAGGATTCAGGAAAACTCAGGACATTGCATTATTTTAAGAGTACCCAGTAAAACATTGACAAGATTTTAAAATGATGCAGAGTAAAAGATTGCAAGATTTAACAGGCAAGACCAGAGAAGCTGCATGATTTCAAGAGGAATCACGAAAACTCCGGAAATTTCAATATTTTAAGAGTACCCAGGAAAACAATTTAAAGATTAGAAGATTCGAAGATGATGCAGAGAAAAAGATTGCAAGATTTAATCAGCAAGATTCAAGAACTTCCAAGATTTCAAGAGGATTCAAGAAAACTCAGGATATTTCAATATTTTAAGAGTACCCAGGAAAACATTGACAAGATTTCAAGATTTCAAGATGATGCAGAATGAAAGATTGCAAGATTTAATAGGCAAGACTCGAGAAGCTCCATCATTTCAAGAGGATTCAGGAAAACTCAAGAAATTTAAATATTTTAAGAGTACCCAAGAAAACATTGACAAGATTTCAAGATTTCAAGATGATGCAGAATGAAAGATTGCAAGATTTAATAGGCAAGACTCGAGAAGCTCCATCATTTCAAGAGGATTCAGGAAAAATCAAGAAATTTAAATATTTTAAGAGTACCCAAGAAAACATTTACAAGATTTCAAGATTTCAAGATGATGCAGAATGAAAGATTGCAATATTTAATAGGCCAGACTCAAGAACTTCCAAGATTTCAAGAGGATTCAAGAAAACTCAGGATATTTCAATATTTTAAGAGTACCCAGGAAAACATTGACACGATTTCAAGATTTCAAGATGATGCAGAATGAAAGATTGCAAGATTTAATAGGCAAGACACGAGAAGCTCCATGATTTCAAGAGGATTTAGGAAAAATTCAGGAAAATTCAATACTCAAAGAGTACCCAGGAAAACATTGACAAGATTTCAAGATTCGAAGATGATGCAGAGAAAAAGATTGCAAGATTTAATCAGCAAGACTCAAGAACTTCCAAGATTTCAAGAGGATTCCAGAAAACTCAGGATATTTCAATATTTTAAGAGTACCCAGGAAAACATTGACAAGATTTCAAGATGATGCAGAATGAAAGATTGCAAGATTTAATAGGCAAGACTCGAGAAGCTCCATGATTTCAAGAGGATTCAGGAAAACTCAAGAAATTTAAATATTTAAAGAGTACCCAAGAAGACGTTTAGAAGATTTCAAGATTTCAAGATGATGCAGAATGAAAGATTGCAAGATGTAATCAGCCAGACTCAAGAACTTCCAAGATTTCAAGAGGATTCAAGAAAACTCAGGATATTTCAATATTTTAAGAGTACCCAAGAAATCATTGACAAGATTTCAAGATTTCAAGATGATGCAGAA